TCATGAACTTTCAACTGGGTGGGAATACGATGTAACTTCCAGAATTGGGATTCCACATTACGATGCTAAGATGTCTGATTTATTAAATTGGAACTTTAAGGATCGTTTTGCCTTGGACTCTGATTTAATTCTACATGATACTTGGAATGCTGACACTGTCTCTTTCCCCCTTCCCCTTTCCTTCACTTCAGGTAGCTGAACTGAAAATGGAATTAAAGCTAAGAGGATTGCCTGTCTCTGGAACTAAAATGGATCTCATTGAGCGACTGAAACCCTATCAGGATCTGAATAATAATTCCGTTGGCACAAGTAATACAGGGACGGCTTCCAGTAATGGAGCCAGCAAACCCGGAGAAGTCACTGCGCCATTTCCTGCTGCAGCATTTAATAAGCCGGCAGTGAATTCTGCTCCCAGTACTTCTTCGGAAACAGCACCTGTCGGAACCGGCAGCAAAACGGGAGCCCTGGAACACGCAGGGTCCCCTCTGCCCATTTCCCCAGCTCCTTCGGAACAGTCCAGTCTCGGAACGGACGATGCCAGCATGGCCGATACATTGACGGAAATCATGACCCTGATGTCTCCGTCGCAGTTCCCAAGCGCTTCCCCTCTCCGAACGGCCGCCATCCACGAAGACGGCGGAAATTCATCCGGCATGGACCTGGACACCACGGAGAAGGACCGCAAGCTACAAGAGAAAGAGGAGCAGATCGAGGAGCTCAAAAGAAAACTGGAACAAGAACAGAAGCTGGTGGAAGTGCTGAAGATGCAACTGGAGGTTGAGAAGAGGAGTCACCAGCAGCAGCAGCAGCACGCTCAAGCTTCTGCCAATACGCCAATGACTTTGAATCCGCCGCGTAACAGCTCCTCCGTCAAAGAAGAAGGCGCCGTGGCAGACAGCCCCGAGGCAAGGCAGTTGGTCTCTGATGCCAGCCATGCCTTAGGGCAGCCCAGGTCAGCAGAGATCCAAAACCTAGTTGCCAAAAAGGCCATGGTCATCAAGCAAGAGATACCTTTGGCCCAAGCTGAGCCGCAGAACGTCCTATCTCAGTTCTACGTAAGTTCACAGAGACAGCCCCAAACGGCGGTCATTGCCCAACCTCAAGCTCTGCTGGCTGCCACGGGGACCGCCCAGCTGCTCCTGCCACTGTCCTTGCAGGGTCCAAATTCAGCCGCTTCGGTGCAACTGCCTGTCAGCAACATCCAGGTAACATCCGCGGTCAACCTTTAATCCCGATGGCCACTACTAGTCGAGGAGACATTCATGAATGCCACTTGAAATATGCTGTACTCCCCGGGTTATATGGACGGACCTGGAATCGAGGGGGTTTGGGATTCTAGTTAAGGAAGGCAAATTAATCATGGTTTAATATAACAGCAAATATCAATAGCTCTTACATGCCGTTTCACAGTGCTGTTTTACAGCCCCCGCTAAGCAGTTTTACAGAGTCAGCCTGTTGCCCCCAACATTCTGGGTCCTCATTTTACTGGCCTCGGAAGGATGGAAGGCTGAGTCCAACCTTGAGCCAATTAGGATCGAACTGCTGGCAGCCAGCAGAGTTAGCCTGCAATACTGCATTCTAACCACTGCGCCACCAGGGCTGCTAATAGCAACAGCACATAGACTTATATACCGCTTCAAAGTGCTTTCCAGCCTTCTCTAAGCGGTTTACAAAGTCGGCCTCTTGCGCCAAACAATCTGGGTCCTCGTTTTACCAGCTTTTGAGCCTGGTGAGATTCGAACTACCAAATTGCAGGCAGCTGGCAGTCAGCAGAAGTAGCCTGCAGTACTGCACTCTAACCACTGTGCCACTGCGGCTTTTAATATCCCCTTGACAGAAGCATGCATGATTGTGAATGGCTGGTGTAACATGCTATCCCTTGTGCAATTAGGGTGTTAAACAACTCCCTATAGACCTGGTGGGCATTCAGATTATCTCCAGTATGGTCTAAGGAGGACCAGTTACGAGGGCATAAATGAATGCAATGGAGGGTGCTTTTGTGTCCCTTCACTTTCAAAGAAATTACAGATTCTTGTAATGAGTTGGGAACTGACAATACCATAAGCTCAATTCTTCTACCTTTGCCAATGAATTGGGGCTGAAATAGTAACAGGGTATCTCATAGGTAATCTAAATGGGACTGGGGTTACCTAAACCCAGGGGTGGGATTCAGCCAGTTCGGACTGGTTCGGGCAAACTGGATGTTAATTTTACAACTTGTTCGCCAAACTGTTAGTTCCAAGGACTGGCTGGACCTACTCACCCTGCTCTGCCCCTCCCAGGAGTCTCCAAACGGCCCATTTTGGATGCCAGGTAAGTGCAGAGATTCTGGGAGGGCGAAAAACGGGCCTCCCGGAAGTCCAGAAACGAGCCCGTTTCTGGCCTCCAGGAGGCCTCTGGAGCCCGGGGGAGGCTGTTTTCATCCTCCCAGAGGCTCAAAGAAAGTCTCCAGAGCCTGGGGAGGGCAAAAGTGCCCTCCCCCCATGGTACAGGAGGCTGAATAGGTCATACCCACCATAGCCATGCCCACCCAGCAACTGGGCACAGAACTGGTTGCTAAAAATTTTCAATCCTATCCCTGCCTAAACCCTAAACTCTATTTTCTATGGCAAATAGTTAGCGGGCAAAAATTCAAATGCTTGCTTTCATCTAAAAAAAAGGTCCTTATCCAATTAGCATATTAAACAGGTGCTGATTTTTGGCTAAACTTTTATTTCTGTTATCTGTCTTGTCATCATCATAAGGCAATACCTGTCCGTGCACACACGCTTCCCATATGATAAAAATTTCCCTTTGAATTTAAGCTGCTGGAGGTTATTAATGGCATCCTCATTTATCCAGCTCGCCAGATGGTAGTATATTGTAGCTGGTGCATAACTATCAATCCATTTTATTCCTTTTTGTGCAGAAATTTCAGAGGGGCTTAAATATGGTAGGAGTCCTGCGTATTTTTTTTAATTTAAAGTAGATTGAGATTGGAAAATAATGCACCTTGGCTGCCTCGACGTTAATGCAGTCGTCTTCTGCACCCAGCAAATTGAAGCTGTACATTTTTTTTATCCTCTAGGTTCAAACACAAGCTGGTATTCCAACCATCACCCAAGTATCTACTTCTAATTTGGTCCCCAAAGTGCCACAGATGCACCTGTCAGCCCCCAAACTCAATGCTTCCCCACAGCATGCAGCTGGCCAAACCTCAGAGAACAGAAAGGTTGGTGAAGGTTTATGCACAAAGGGATTATAACCTGTACCTAAAGTTCTGTATTCTATTACCTGTGTGGGCTTGTACAGTCTCTCTTCAATAAAACAAGATTCAGGATGGAATAATAGCATGTAGATTTAGCACTTAGACTTATGTTCTGACCCCCCTCCGTCCAATGAGTAACGCCAACACAAGCTTACTGTTAGCCACGCTTTATTCACAGTAATTACTCATAGACAAGACATTGGCAGCAACCCAGACTTCCACAGATAAGAGATACAATACACACAAGAGCTTCCCCAGATTGGTATAAACGGTTGTGTCCTGCAAAAGGTCTCCTCCCAAAGTCTCTTCTTATAGGAGCCAAATCACAACCACCTGGGCCTGATTATCTCCTATTATCTCCTCTGGCGTCAGAGACAAACTCCCTTTGATCTTCACCACTGCTCCAGTGCCTGACGTCAGGGACAAACTCCCTTTGACTTTCACCACTGCTCCATGCCTCAGGCGCCTCCTGGTGGCCAACCAGCCTCTCTTGTGCCTGCTCAGAGTCTGAACTCTGCCCAGGGTCCTCCAC